CACACACGCACACACGCGTGCGTACGCACACATGCACATACACACACACACACATGCGTATGCATACACGTACGTTAACGCACGCATGCTCACATGATATGCACGCGTGTACAAACGATACATGCTCAGCTACAAGGCAAACTCAGCGACTACATGACAACAATGGAAAGCCGCGGGGGAGCTCCCTCCAAGGTCGCGCGTGATCCCGAAGCAGCGCCACCTAGCAGCAACACAGGCGCCACCTGGCCCGCGCAAAGCGAGGAGCTAGTAGGAGTGCGTGACGCGGCCATCCCGAACACATGCAGTGCGGTTTCACGGACCGCCCCACCACGACCCTCCTAGGCTCCGGCAACGCGGACGCTGTTGCCATGACGACCGCCCACATCTCTAGCTCTCTCTCCTCTCATCTTATCCGGGCATGCGGCTGCACGGAGGCGCGCGCGACGAACGCGATAAAAAATCAGGCCGAGGTAAAAAACAACAACTATTACGCTAATGCAATCTACTGGAGTGCATGAGACGACAGCACGCGATACACATTCACACGCATGCTGCTACAGGATATGAGTCACTAGTACTCGCAGAATTCAACGCCCGCGTTTTTAACGGCCGCTCAAATTTAAACATCCATAATTCCATTTAATTCCATGCGGATGAGGGATCGATCAAACTGCAGACTGTAAATAAAGGAGTATGGTGCAAAATGTCGTGCGGTGTGGTCACAAATGCGTGACAATAGAAAACGGAGGATTATGCAACCAGACACAGGGAGCTAGATGGAATCAAGCAGAACACACACACACACACACACACGAGTGCGCACACACATGCACACATGCACACGCACGCACACACACACACACATGCGCGCGCGCACACACAGACGCACACATGAACACGCACACGCACGCACGCACGCACGCACATTCACACACACACGCGAACACGCACGCACATGGACACGCACACACACACGCACCTGCACACACACCCACACACACACACACGAACACCTCACACCTATGCTTTAACATGGACACGGAGGCAGGAGAGGATGCTGGACAAGATGGTGATAGCAAAACCCTCTTGCTAAGGAAGATTGTAGGAGTAAAACCGTCGCTAGGGAAGATGCTGGAAACAAAACCGTCGCTAGGGAAGATGCTGGAAACAAAACCGTCGCTAGGGAAGATGCTGAGAGCAACATCGTGCCAGCATCCCAGCAGGCGGGGAATCCGCCCCCGCTGCGATCTGTGATACGTCTGCACCGCTGCAACCATGGCTGCTGCTGCGATACAGTAACCACGGTAACTGTGAGGGAGGTTGCGTACCTGAGCGGGAGGGATGCTGACGGGAATCTTGTCGCACTTCAGGTGCAACGCGTCGCCGTTCCTCACGCTGTGCTCCTTGACGACGGGAGGCGAGAAGTCGCCGACGTCTGCAACATGCACGGCAACGCGAGTCAGTGCTGCCATCTACAGGCGGAAACCGCAAACTATCGACGCGACGTAACCACCAAACGTTCACACTTTAGCGACCTTTCAACGCAACTTCCACATAAAAAGTTTCTTATAAAGTTCGCGATATATTTTATCTGCGCGCACGCAGTCACGTAAATGCAGCGATTATTTCACTTGGGAGCACGCCGACTCGGGATATCGCAGAACTCGCAAGAGCTCGTTAACGATTAATTAGTCTCATTAATCGTGACGAGCCCTTGACTCGACCAGCAGCATCCACTCGGTGGGAAGCTCTCTCGTTAACAGCAATCCAACACTCACGTTATTTCACAATATGCGCCACAAGGGGGCGCCGCAGTCACTTCTGCGGCCACACGATTTAAACATCGGCCGATTGCAAATTCATTGTGGGTACCAGATGGGGGCGCCACGGTCACGATTACATAGATTTGAATTTACTACAGGCATCACAAGGAGGAATCACGCGCTCACTTCTACACTGAACTGAATTCAATACAGGCCCCCGCAAGATGGCACCTCTCTCACTCCCATATAGACTCAAGTTTACTACAGCCGCCACAAGGGGGCATCACCAACCCCATCCGAACCGCGAGCGACGTTAACCGACTACCACGAGGGGGCGCCGGCGCGGCACTCACGTCCGTAGAGCACGTCCGTGTACTGCGTGACGGCGGTTCCCAGACTGTTCTTGACGAGACACTGGTAGATGCCTGCGTCCTCCTCCATTGCCTGGGTGAAGGTCAGGGTGCCGGCGTTGTCGGGCTGGAACACCCGCCACGAGTCGCGCTCGTAGAACACACCGTCCTTCTTCCAGAGGAACCTGCACGGACCAGAGAGGAACTGCGTCATACACTAGCGCCACCTAGTGAATGTTTACTCCGATTACCCATCACGCCATGCTCTCGCTCTGCTTACTGGCGCCACCTGCCTGTAGAAAGTATTACTGGAAGCTAATAAGTAGCTTCTTTCTTTATTTGCTAGCGCCACCTATAGGCACCCCTAGTCTACTCTCCATTGTTCGTACTTGTATTTACTAGCGCCACCTACAGGCATGCCTGTGCCAGCCCCCAGCGTTCCTACCCATATTTGCTAGCGCCACCTACTGATCTAATTACTTTCAATCTGTCTCATTCTTCAGCGCGATTCGCCAGCGCTACCTGGTGGAGGAAAAGAGAGCAGGGGGAACACTTACTCCAACTCTACAGTTAGGCACGCCTGCTCTACCCCCAGCATTCCTACCCATATTTGCTAGCGCCACCTACTGGGCTGATTACGTTTATATTGTCCGTGCGTCAGCCCGAATCACCGGCGCTACCTGGTGCGGGGCGAAGAGAGAAAGAGAGAGAGGAGGGGGGGGGGGGGTGAGAGAGAGAGTCAGGAGAGAGCAGAGAGAGAGAGCAGAGAAGCAAGAGCACCGAGAGCAAGAGAGAGAGAGAGAGAGCAGAGAGCAGAGAGAGAAAGAGAGAGAGAGAGAGAGAAGCGAGAAGAGAGAGAGAGAGGAGAGAGAGAGCAGAGAGGCAGAGAGAGAGGAGCAGAACCAGAGAGAAGAGACAAGGAGATTTGATTTGAGAGAGAGAGAGGAGCGAGAGAAGAGATGAGAGAGAGAGAGAGAGAGAGAGAGAAGAGAGAGGCAGAGAGAGGGTGAGAGTAGTGAAGTAGGAGGACGAGAGAGAAAGAGAGAGAGAGAGAGAGAGAGAGAGAGAGAGAGAGAGATTCAGTGAGAGAGAGAGCGGCGGTGGGGGAATACTTACTCCAACTCTGCTTGTTCATCTCCCTGCTTGCTGGCACTGTGTCCCTCGCAGACCAGCTCAAACTGCACCTTCTCGCGGATGATGATCAACTTGCTGCTATGGTTTGTCAGGCTAGGAGGCGTGTTCACTGCAAAGGCAACGCGAGAGAGAATGCGGTGAGCTCGCAGCTTCTTCCTCGTGGCTTCGCGAGCACTGCGGATGCTGCGCCGTGGTTACCCCCTCCCGGCAGCTCCCCGTGATCAGCATGCATGGTTAAATCGCCGGCCTTCCCCTCCGCCGAGCATCGACGAACAATTAATGAATGAGCAATCATCAGTCAGCCTAATTAATGAATGACCACCATGAAAAATGCCTGCCAATGCCATCAAAGAATTTCTTTTACATATTGATTTCAAACTATTCAAGCGATTTATATATATATATATATTTATATATATAATATATATATATATATACTATATTATATTATATATTCAAAAATATATTACTATATAAGTAGTGGTACATTTTTGATATATTATATTAGGGGTTATAATTAGCCAATTAGTAATGATTAGTGACGTTATTATAATTGTTTATAAGGTCGTTAGGACGTTGTTATAATAATGTGTTTTGTTTTTAGTTTAATATGCGTGGGCGGTGGGGTGTTATCGACCGTGTTACAAGCTTGCTGTGAGACAGATACGAGTATTGCAGAGTTCATTAAATGTAAGCCACCTATCACATATAAGCGCATCACCATATCAGTCACACATAACCACGTCTTTACACACACATATCAGGCGTGATATACGAGTCTTATGCAGGCTTTATAAGATTACGAGCTTCATACACAACTCGCAAAACTCGCAAAAATTAAAACGTCGCAGCAAGCGTGTTGATAAATCACCGGTTAGTGAGAGCGAGCTGCGTTGCCATGGCAACCGCACACCGCTGGCTGCTTCCTGTAACGGCGGCGGCGGCGGCGCGAATATTAACGCAGCAACGAAAACTGGAAACGAAAGGAAACGCCGAGGACTGCGTGACGACGACGATGACGCATCAACGTGAACGAAGAAGCCCTAACGTCACCAGTCACGTGGGTGCGTGCGCTCGTGACTACGCGAACACGCAGGGGTAGTTACACAACAGCCTAACACAGAGACGAGCAGACGCCACCAGGGGGCCGCGACGAGTCGCCGAGCGTGCCGCCAGGTGGCAGCGCGGCTCGTCGAGAATTAAATATAAGCGTTTTTAAAAATGAAGACGGACAGAGAGACGAGAGGGGCCGGAGAGCTGTGAGACAAGGCTCCAGCGAGGGGCAGCCTGCCTCGGGGGATGCAAGATGCAGAGAGACAGACGACAGACAGACAGCCAGAGACGACGGACTGCTGCTAGAGGCGCACACAGACACCGTGCCGACATTCTCAGCACTTTAGTAGGAACAAATCAATGTGAGCGCTGGTTGAAAAGCTCTCTGCAGGGGGGCAGCGTGAGGCCCCTCCAGAAATGACAGACGGCCGGGAACGACAGAGGATGAAGAGGAAGGATGTGGGGAAGGAAGGGAGGAAGAGTGAGGATAGGGGGACGTTGGAGGAAAGAAGAGTGTGTGAAGGAAGGAAGGAAAGAGTAAGCACGGCATTGAAGAAAAGAGGGGACAAGGGAAGGGGACATGACAGAAGAAACAGAGGGAGGGAGGGAGGGAGGGAGGGAGGGAGGGAGAGAGGGAAGGAGGGAGGGAGGGAGGGAGGGAGGGAGAGAGAGCAGCAGAGAGAGGAGAGAGAGAGAGAGAGCAGAGAGAGAGACGAGAGAGGAGAGAGAGAGAGCAGAGAGACGAGATGAGAGAGAGAGAGAGAAGAGCAGAGAGAGAGGATGAGGAGAGAGAGAGAGAGAGAGAGAGGAGAGAGAGAGAGAGAGAGAGAGAGAGAGAGTCAGAGAGAGAGAGAGGAGAGGAGAGAGAGGAGGAGAGCAGAGAAGAGCAGAGAGAATAAAGGAGGGGTGACGGGGGAAGTGTGGGAGGAAGGGATGGAAAGCGTGTCGAGGAATCAAAGAGGAAGGAAGGAAAAAGAGTGAAGAGAGATCAAAGGAGAAATAAGGCAACAGAAGAAAGTTGCCTGGAGGTATGTACTGAGAATGGAAGAGGAGAGGAGCATGAAAGAGTGGACAAGGAGGAAATAATATAAGGAAGGTACGCGAGGGAGCAAGGCAGAAAGGAAGGAAAGCAAGGAAGGTACGCCAGGGAGCAAGGGAGATACGCGAGGAAGAAAGGAAGGTACGCGAGGGAGCAAGGAAGGTACGCGAGGAAGAAAGGAAGGTACGCGAGGGAGTGGCGACCGTTTCTGGAAGAGCCCTCCGGCCACTGGGTGCGCTGCTGCTGCTGCTGCTGCTAGGCGACGAAAGACTAGGCGACGATGAGATTAATAGGGCGCGCGTGAACATAGTAAGGCCACAAATAAAAAAATCTTTGTTTGCCCTCACCCGACCCAGGCTGAAAAGTTTGGGTAGGTAGGTTGGCTTTTTATTTTATTTTTTTGAGGGGGTCTTTTTACAAATTCAGCATGGTGTCTACATGCTCGGGTGTGCTTGTGTGGAGATACCTTTTACGTTGAATGTTTGTTTTGCTTGGTACATATAATGTATTGCCTACAGATTTATATAATGTACAGTGATACAATTTGTTTCACTCAAGTTTTAGATGACGTTTTTTGTTTAAGATCAATAAATTTTTTTGAGTCGGCCACTTTTTGGCGGGTCGGTCGGGTGAGGGCAAACAAACAATATTTTTATTATGGCCTAAGCGAGAGGCTGGAGATATCATTCTCTACACATTATATACGCACCTGTCCGCGACGCTGTGGAAGAGAGAAAAAGAGCGAGAGCCGTTATCAGCAACGAATGATGACAACGACCGAGAAGTGATAACGATGGCATCACCGACAACAACAACGACAACAACAATAACATCAACATCAACAACAACAACAACAACAACAACAACAACAACAACAACACTTATAATAATACACATAATAACACAATAATAACAATAATAATAATAATAATAATAATAACAATAATAATAATGATACTACTAATAGTAATGATAATGATGATGGATGATAATAACAATAATAATAATAATAATATTAATAATAATGTACAGACAATATGAGCTACAGGCACAATGATGTGACCTCTCCGCAGCCACGCCCCCCGCCATCCTGATTACTGTCTGCCTGCTGCATCTTCACACTCATGGCTTCACTCACAGCCTCCCGGCCGCCAGATGGCGCCACTGTCGCCGAGCATGCCCAGGGAACAAGTGAACGCCAACCGTCACATCACGGGTGCTCAGTGTGCGATCCTCATCCCCGCATCCCGCAGCATCCCGGCCGCAAGCATCCCCATCCCCGCATCCCGGCTGCAAGCATCCTTATCCCCACATCCCTCAGCATCACTGCCGCAAGCATCCTCATCACCGCATCCCTCAGCATCCCGGCCGCAAGCATCATCATCCCCGCATCCGTCAGCATCCTCATCCCCCGCATCATCCCCAACCGCAAGCATCCTTATCCCCACATCCCTCAGCATCACGGCCGCAAGCATCCTCATCCCCGCATCCCGCAGCATCCCGGCCGCAAGCATCCCCATCCCCGCATCCCTGCTGCAAGCATCCTTATCCCC